TCCACGAGAATGGTTGAGGATATCCACGCCCGGAAGCATGAACGGATAACTCAAGGAGGTGGTCTGCAGCGTAGGAGATCGAGATAGAAGCGTGGACGGAAATGCGTGGGTTGAAAGATACGTCGACGCCCTTAGATATTTGTCCCTGATCTGGTTTGAGGGGCTTAGGAAGAAAAACAAGCACAGGATACGCGTACCAAGTGTATCTTTCAGCCCAATCTGCATTAATAACGTTGATGAAGGTTCGACATTTATCCCATTCAGCATTCCAGCTTTCCTGACGATCGCGGGTAGCGCCGTAGATGTTAGTCCCTCGGAAGGCTTCGAGTTCAGATGGCGTGAATTGAAGTGGCGTTAGGAGTGCGTCCGCAGGTGGAAGGCTTTTCAAGTAAGGAAGATGTCGAAGGACGTCGGGAATTGGGCTGTAAAGTATGATCATCAAATACGCACACAGAGAGACAAAATTAGTTTAACGCGCCTTGAATCGGGGAAGATCCAGTGTAAGCATATGTAAGTGCAAATAAGCTGCCTTTCCGACCACGATTGTAGGTCAACGAGAGACGATTCGCCAAATAGCGCGGTCAGAGCATGCAAAGAACACTCCAGGTCAATGGCCAGTGAAAATGGACAAGATACGATCGTAGTGTCAGCATCAATAGTGTCTTGCGCGATGGCAGAGAGTCCGAATTTGCCTGACGGTGAAAGTAAACGGTGGAAGGCATACAAAATATCTACGTGTTAGATCGAGCACCTTGGGATAAAGAGACGAACGGATGAATAAAACCGCCATGAGTAGTGAGCCATCGTCTGAGCTCGGCAGTGCTGCTAGGCTCCATTGATTTGCTAAAGTTGAATCTGATCAACTTGTACAGTTGTTGTATCGTGTAATATTATGTAATCAACGCTGACCGTGGTTAACCAGGCTTTCGTCGTCGTCGTCGTCATTATAGCCTTGTCTCCGGTTGTGTTCAACTCGGATTCTCGCAAACACACTCATATGGATGTGATCTTCCCATAATGTTAACCAAAATTTTCGTCTGTGTTGTCTTTCTCCATGTCGCTCGAGTAATGAAATGCAATTTCGTGGAGGTATATTTAAGATACTGATTGGCTGTCAGAGCTGACACTGACCTCCTTGTTATCTCCACTGAACTCTCATGCATGACAGTTCTTGTCAGTATACACCACAACGTCGCAGTTGAGCTCTTACAGTTTTCCCGACTTGCTTTTTTGTATGCTACTCTCTTCGGCACGACGACCCAGCTACTGTTCTCAATCGACTTCAAGTTCTTCACCATGCCGCTTAGATTCATTCGTACGAAAAAGCTAGGGATTGACATTGACCCTTTGCAAGCAGCAATCGCTACAACGGTTTTCGCCAGGGATCTCATGGCAACCATGCAGTTTCCTCCAGCCACTGCCGCTGTCTCAGCTTTGCTACTCATCTTGCAAACTATCCAGGCGAGTGGACGCTTGAAATATACATGTCTGCGCGTGTTTCGACCTGTGTTCGCCTTCATGTAGAGCATTCAAGTTAACAAGTCTGGTTGTGATCGCTTGGCGCGTCGCGCTGCACAAATACTAATCGACATCAATGAACAAATGCGTGGACGATACCATGAAGCTCCAGAGGCGCTTCTCAGGAATTTGGACAGGTTTGAAAGGTACACCTGGCTATTATGTGCAAAACAACTCTTGACCGATCGTTTATTCTCAACTCTTGACAGCATCCTGATTTCTATCCATCAGTTCATGAGAAAGTTGGCCGATTCAAAATGGAGCGATAGGTTCCTCCGTAAGTCGTCAATTGACGACGCTCTGGTCGAGTACATGCGCATGCTTGACGAGGCAGCGCAGGCTTTTCAGGTGTGCGTGGTGTTTGAATATAGGTTTCAATTACTGAAGAGCCCTACGAAGCTCGCTACTCTCATCAATATACACCTCGCTGTGAGCTCACTGAGAGGGAATGCTGCTTCGGACGCAACTGCTGACAGTGAAAGAGCCATCAATACTACGCTTCCGCCCACCTATCATGAGGTTCTGAACGGACCAGATTCAGTTGCTATAGAGATACAAAGCCCAGGAATCGTTGATGCAGCGGAGTGCATAGTTGCTGAATCCGATCCTCTGGCGGCAGCAGGAGGGGAATTCTTGTCACCGCCCGAAAAAAGATTTATGGATCATTATCTCCCCGTGGAACTGTCATCACTGACCCTAGAGGATGATCATGGGGTCAGCAATAAATTCTTTTTTTTTTTTGCTTGCTCATGCGTGTTATACCAACCTAGTTTCGACGATACCACCAGTCGGAGGTTATCTTACGTGGCCGGTCTCGATTGCAGGACGGATGGTGGGCTGGTGCGACGGAAGTCCAGGTACAAGGTCAACGAGCCTTGATCAAGAAATATGACGATGGCAAGGACCATGCATACTCTGTAATGTGGCCATGTTCGCGTCTACAGGGTGTTGCTCAAATTGTGTTTTCAGAAATGGCTGCGAGACGTCAAGGTGCTGCAGAATCTTTAGTATGTCACACGAAACACTTTGATTTCATCTAGTCTCATTTTCTAGTCACCCCAATTTACCTCAGATGCTTGGATTTTCGGATGAACGAGCCCCAACTCCTTTTATCTTGCTGGCGAATGGTATTCATCCCGTCAGGCATTCGCGATGTGATATCTAATACAACAGCAGTTCAGACGCAGAGTCCTCAAGCTCTAGTTCGCGAGGTGCTACGTTCGTCAAGTCTAGGGACCTCGATAGAGCTGTTGTTGCGTTTTGTAAGGTCTTTCTTTTGGCTAGGTGATCAGCATTTGATACATCGAGATACAGTATCGCGACCTTGCTGTGAGTGATCCACCACATATATGTCGCTATTCTTTTGTTGATAGCTGTCTAGGACACGGCGATGTATGTTCAGAGGCAACTCAACCTGGATGAGAACAAGGTTCAAGATTTCATCGAGGTATGTCGCCTGATCTGTCTTGCAATTGATATTTATGGTCTGCAGGCTTCCTCATTGCGAGTTGATTCTCTCAAAACTCTTGTTGTTGGTCTGCCTCCTCCTCGGAATGGCGAGTGGTATACGGCACGGAACTACGGGTTAGCGCATACATTGTTGGATGCGTGTTTGCGAGTAAGCATCGCTTTCATGTGCTTTGAGCTTCATATTAAGGAGCGTGCAAGATGTTGCCAAACAACGGGCGGGTCACTTACTCATATGATAGAGGGGACGAATTTGGTATGAATTCAGGCTCATGATGAATCGCTCGCTCACATCATTGCAGTGACAGAAGAGATGCAAAAGAAAGTCAACCACCTCGTCACTTTGGCACGAGCCCTACTTCCCGGCGGAAGACAAACCCCCGTACTCCCAACACAGTTAGAAGCATTGATCGAAAAAACGGATTCTGAGACCCCTTCGCTGACTCTGCGACAAATACGAAACCTCACTTGGAATGCTGAAGGCGCCCATGGCCATTCATGGTATGAGAGGAACGTGCCGGCTGATAAGTTTTCTGTTGGTGATATCGGATACATTCCGGTTGGGGGAGACTTCGGATCCTTCGTTCTTCTCAGCAACATCATCAAAGACGGAAAGGCTGTGCTCAGCCTGTCTCAGCGGTCGCATGGCGAGCACTGGTGCTGGGACCATGTTCCGATACACAGGCAACCTCTCCAAGCTTACGAGTTGCCTGGAACTGTTGTAGGGTGAGAATTTTTACGATCTGATGGAAATTATGATGACGACACCGTGACAAGATGGCCTGTCGCAGTGCCCCCATACAGTCAGATTGATGTCGTGGTGGTGCATGAGGCCTATCTTTCTTGTGTCAGGGATGCGTGGCAATATCTATTGAAGAATGGCAAGGACCATGCGGCCGATAGTGGTATTAGACCGGAGGATTTGATTCTTGGTTGGCCTTTCCTCGATCTTGCATGACCTTGCGATGTCATTGTTCACCCATTATTACAGTAACCCACGTTGGAACACATCAAGATTTTTACGTCAGGGATTTTCGATCAAAACCTTTTATGGCACAAACACACGCAGCAAATCCCCGGTTTGCTGCGAATCAGTTCCATCACCAACATAGGCATGGATTTCACCAGCCATCAGGCTTGGGGTTCCAGAATCACAGCGTTCCGTTCAACCAACCCGCCCTTCCTGCAATAGTTTATCTATTAACTTCATTGGATGCTGATCACGAACCGCATTGGTCACCATCCCCAGTGTGTCTGCCAAATGGTGTGTCGCGTCAACCTCTGGCGCAACATTTCACGACGAAGATTGGGTGGTGGGTAGATTTCTTGGATTGGTGAAGTTGGGCTGACCTTGGGCGATACAGGAAAACCGGGTTTTTGAACTATGTTCAACTTCATGCTGAAGACTTCGCTGGCACCTGATGTTTGGAGATTGAAGTTCTCCTGTCACATCCAGACATGAGAACTTCTCCGGCACTTGCAGAATCGACACCTGCACCACTGGTGAAAACTTTGGTTTCGCATGTGCGCCATCATGTGGTATTCAGATGTACGCATGTGTTTCTTCCTATTGTGGTTCGCAAGAGTAGTACTCATTCCTTGAAGGCTCAAAGAGCTTGAGTCAACGTAACAATGATGCCCTCTTTAATTATGGACACAATGTGTAGATGCACAAATTTGATAGCGATATGAACAGGTATATAGACAGCAATATTATCGATTGAGATATCGCATTCCAATGCATTGGAATGGCACATGCAATCGTGGGAATGATATGTTGATATCAATAAGATACAATAATGATTATCGAATATTCTAATGGATTGGAACACCACATGATGTCATGGGACAAACATCTCAACGACAATTGCAATGTCATACCATTGCAATGGCCCTAGGAAATTTTCAACAATTATAGATGGTGCCACTCAGGCAGACTTATACACCATGGATGAGTCAAGTGGTGAAAACAGGCTGGTCAATCTCAGAGAAATTTGGCAGGCAAAGTGAGGAGTTTAAGCCAGGCTGGTCATAAGCCTAACAGTATACTTGGACATGTCCATCGGAAACCTACAACCTACTGTACAGCAATGTATCACAAATGAATCATAACTGTAGACAACAATACATCAATATTTCAGGTACAGGTGAGCCCAAGAATATGTAAGGCTGTGTTGAATCTTGGATCAATCAACAAATCAAGATGGGCAAAGAAATTGATGGATGACACAAAAATAGGAGTGCCAAGAATTGCAACCCCAAGCAAACATGGACCCATCAATAGGGTGTTTAAATCTTGCAAGTCTGAAAACTTTAGATCATATTCTTGAATCCCAAAGATGACTTACTGAACCATGCAGGCCCTTCAATAGTGAATACAAAGGATGCCAAAAATAGGTTGAAGATGAAGGAGAGAACATGAACAGGACCAGGTGGTATGTCTTTGGCAATTTCCTGGGTTGTAGGAATAACTGAGATCATGAAAGCTAGGTTCCATGTCAAGATCATGATGAACAATCTTGTGACTGAATTATAGTCCTTTGATGCAAGATACATGGTAAGAGCAATGATGATGCACCAAACAAGAATAACAGCCTGAGCCACAGTGCCTGCAATTATAGGCATGATGAGTTTGTTAGATGAGTTTGTTAGATGAGTTGCAGCGGATGTTTAGGGGGTCAACTTGTCAAGTACCGTGTTGGTACATCACAATGATGTCACAGGTGGATGACATACTATTTATGGCAATTCTGACTCACATGTGTGTGCTTCGCTCAGAAGGATTTGAGCTACATTTCAACTGCTCTGCTGCCCACTTGTTTCCCCATGTCCAGATCTCAATAGTTCATCACACTCTTGCAACTGAATGTGCTCTGCCAGGCTAACAAGTTGGCATTTCACGTACGTGACACCTTCATTAAAAAATCTCCTTATGCTCAACATTTCCAGCTTGATATTGCCTGCTTATTGGATACCTCAATAAACTTTGTGGTTCCAGTTCTCTGCAAAAAATCAGCCCTCTCTCCTTAAAGTTGCAGGGAAGCACACTTCTTCATTGCTTATTCCACTGCAGCCCCTCCAATGCCCATGATACATCACTGTCCTCCCTTCTCAAACCCTTTTGAAGCAGCGTGGACAAAGTAGTAATGACATTGAGTTGTATGGGCACAGCCAAGTTGTCGAGGTTCTGTATGCAAAGGGCAAATGTGTATGTTTTCTCTCTCCTCTGTCATTCAACTCCACTTAATATCACATAGAGAAACACTTCAACAAGGGAGGTTGCATTAGCGAAGCAGAAGCAGAAAATGAAAGTGTTGTACTCCAAGAACTCTACTGTGGGCAGCTCATGGCCTCCCAAGCCCAATGTCACACAACAATTCGGCACAACAACTCAGACTCAGCCATCTTCACAACCACAGCCTGTGATGCTCAGACAGGCTGGACTCTGGACTCACTTCTGGCTCCTCACTGGTTGTCTGTCTCCTGAATACCAGGATGGTCATCATTCATTTGCAATTGCCTCATCCTCTATGGTGATTTCTCTTGTGCCTCTAGAATATCACACCTCTCTTCTATGAGGCCTGAGGCCTACCTCTCTGCTACATTTCAGGATCAATATTTGCTTACTTCTCTATTTGTATTTATTGCAAACTAATTTTACTTTGGGATATTTGTGAGCAATAATATGATAATTTATTAGACATCTGCAATGGATCTGGCATGTTCTCTAACTTCAATGTAGCATCGCAGGAATGGACTTGGCTAATTCATACCCTCACCTGGGGCTGCCAGCGTTGTGTGATAGATGTCTATGCAATTGCTCTGCCCATCCAACAGCAATCGCATCTTGAATGGCATGCAGAGTATCCATTCATTCAATCCTGTCGCTTCAGGTATCTCATCCTGCTTGTGTTTCCTATACTCACTCATGGCAGGCATCAGAAAGTTTGTTGTTGTATTCATCATTGCTGAAAAGGCGAGAGGTTTGAAGGTGACAGAGTGGACAAATGTCGAAACGCAGAAACATTCTTTTTTTTCATGTAAGCACGCAACATGCTGCATAACTGATCATTTCTTTGCATGTCAGCTCCAGCGAATTTCGAGTTCCCCATGTTCTGGAGGACATGAGCAAAGTCATTGGAGACGATCATGCCCTTCTAGACCCCGACAGGTATCTTCGTGACCAGATGAAGGTGTTGTTTCTCCATCCTTTCCTGAGGCCTTGCTTGAAACTAGGGTGGAACAAGCTTGACACACTCATGATGGATTAATCAATGTCATTGGAATGAACGACAAGCAGGCACTAGATCTAGATGTGTGAGAGGATACAAATGTGTCGATTGGGTTTTCATCATTATGGGTAAAATGGTAACAGGCCTCATGCTCCCAAAGAGTGACCTATCCACCAAAGTGTAATGCCTGTGTACCTCCTGGGAGGTACACTAGAGCATGTGCTACTAGAGGTACTACCTGGATGACACCTGCTGACAGTGAACCAAAGTACAAGTGGACCTACCATAAATTGTTGCAATGGAGCCTTGAGGTGATGAAGGACTGCAGACTCATGCTGATGGAGAAATAGAGAGTCAAGCCCAAGCATGAGAAATAGACGAAGGTGAATGGTAGTCACTCTTTTGCATGGTTGAATAGTCCTACAAGGACTCAGAAACTTAAATATGGTGTACAGTCAGTTATAATCACTCGGATCAATACAGAGTGGTAGAACATACCTGAACATCATGAGCAAGCTCCCCAAACTGCGCAAGAGTACTGATTGGAAGGCAAAAAATGAGAAGCTATGCATACCTAAATGTGAAAGAAAATTCCTTGAGTTCAGATGGCGTGAATTGAAGGGGAGGTAGCAGTGCATCTGCAAGTGGAAGGTTTTTCAAGTAAAGATGTTGAAGGACATCAGGAATTGGGCTGTCATCAACTACGCATGCAGAAAGACAAAATTAGTTCAATGCGCCTTGAATCAGAGAAGGTCCAGTGTAAGCATGTATAAGTGCAAATCAGCTGCCTTTCTGATCACAACTGCAGGTCAACAAGAGTCAATTTGCCAAACAGCACTCAGGTTAGAGCATCCAGAGAACACTCCAGGTCGATGGCCAGTGAAAATGGATGAGATACGATTGTAGTGCCAGCATCGATAGTGTCTTGGGTGATTGAAAGTAAACAGCAGAAAGCACATAAATTTTCTACATGTTAAATCAAGCACCTTGGAACAAAGGGACAAATGGGGTGAATAAACTGCCATAGGAAGTGAGCCATCTGAGCTTGCTGGCAGCACGGCATGATTGAGTTGAATCTGACCTAATATTAATTTGAATTTGCTTCCAGTTTGACCCCTATCCACATGTATCACACCTACCACAATGACCTCTGAAGACACCTCAGTATGAATTATTATCTTGATCTGGCTTCACCTTCTCCTAGTTATCAATTTCATCTCCATGGAATGGTACCCTTCCTTGGCTGGAAGGATTAATGCTGCCAGTATGGCAGGAACTTGGCTCTTATATGCTGTCCTAGTGCGAATTCCAACTACCCATCCAATTTGCCTAAAGGATACATGCAGCCTTGGCTTCTTATGATTGGCCTTCTGCTTTTTGTGGGTGGTAGGCCTACAGAATGATGACAGCAACAAAATGGAGACATGGTCAGGCCACTCAGCCAAAGACCTTGCAAGAAATGCTGTCATGTACTATGATTTTACATTGGCGTGGGTACTGGGGTTTATACATATGAGTGTGCATTTGAGTTTCTCAGGGGAATTGATTCAGAAGTGGAACCATCCATTCCTGATGGTTTGGTCTCTGGTCAAGGGCTGGTTGAAACAGGTGTCTGATTGTCTCATCAGACCCAGCAACAATAATGTGGAGTCATTTGCACATCGCTCATTGGTAGGTATTTCATTTTTTATTCATAACAAAGCTAATCATATGTTTAAGCCGCAGGAAGATCCTGATTTGTCGCATGATTCAGACGACAAGAAACTGCCCAATTTCAAGGTCTGAGTGCACTGGGACATCTTGACCATCTGAGTCAGGCTGTACCTGGATGTTTACATTTCTATTATATGTCACGTTGTCTTCTGACTTCTCCTTGTTTTCTCCACAATGCTGCTCCTTTGTACATTGCTACCATGCCGGTCCATCATCACCATTGCATGACAGTACTCTTCTTGCCCATTATTCCATCACACTGACTCTGATACCCACGATACACCATCCTGACCTTGCCCTTTCTACTGAGCTCAAACTCTTTCTGGATTACAGCGCAGACAAAGTGATGCAGAGATCTAGTTGCGTGAGCATCATTCAGCCATAGTTAGCACTAGCTACTGTGCTGTCCTTTATGCAAAGGGCAAACATGTGTGTTCCTGCCTTCCTCCTCACTGGATGTTCAAACTCTACCTGATTTTATACACAGGCATGCTTCACTCTTGCAGACAAAGTTGCAATCTGTCAATAACTTGTTTTGTTGTTCAGATATAATCGTCGGGCAACTGCATTGCTATCTGGTTATACAGTGGCTCAAAAAACTGTCCACATGTTTTTGCATTTTTTACTATTTACAATATTGTGTGAGAATACATAAAGACCTCAGTGACATGCTGATACCATATTGTAGTGCTGCTTCAGGGCTTTGGATTGAGCACCACATTGTGAGAATCAGAGGAGATATGGTGGAGATACAAGGCTTACAAAATCATGACTCATGCGGACAGTTTTTTGAGCACATATTAAAACTATATAAATCATCATTTATGACACCATAACAATCATGCCACCATTAAATCAATTATAAAGTGGTGTCATTATGTCATTTTAAAACCATATCTAACTATACAAACCAAAAATTTCCATATGTCATGGTGAATATTCACCATGACATATGGAAATTTTTGGTTTGTATAGTTAGATATGGTTTTAAAATGACATAATGACACCACTTTATAATTGATTTAATGGTGGCATGATTGTTATGGTGTCATAAATGATGATTTATATAGTTTTAATATGTGCTCAAAAAACTGTCCGCATGAGTCATGATTTTGTAAGCCTTGTATCTCCACCATATCTCCTCTGATTCTCACAATGTGGTGCTCAATCCAAAGCCCTGAAGCAGCACTACAATATGGTATCAGCATGTCACTGAGGTCTTTATGTATTCTCACACAATATTGTAAATAGTAAAAAATGCAAAAACATGTGGACAGTTTTTTGAGCCACTGTACTTCTGCCATTACCAACACATTCACATACATTGGTAGCCATTTCCTAAGCAGATGCTTGCCTGCGGCCTTGCTCGCTGGAGGTCAACTGAAACTATGCTAGCACATTGGGCCTCTCGCTCACAGTGCAGCTTAGCCTGCTCATCAAAGTTGTTTGATCACCTATTATTCCACCCCTCATTCTTTCGTCATCAATGCTAGCTTCATAATACCCCTGACTTGAAATGTGTTCTGTGCAGGATATATCTAGTGAGACATCAATTTCTGTCACACCATCATGCAGTTCCTAAGGTCTTGTTCCTTGTTCTGTTTGCTACCCTTTTGTGAGCTCTATCTCACTTGTTTTGACAGCAAGGCTGGGTAAATGCACTATGGCATACATGTTTGA